ACGCATGAGTAAACCTTCTTTGTGAACCACACGTGTCACGAGAGTTTCTCTGTCGAACAGGGCAAACCTTACAGAACATTCATGGAATGCTCCTAAATAAATAACTACTTGTATGCCTATTAACAGTTACGTCACCTTGTTTTAATTAAAAATTTCATTGTTCATAGTATTGGCTCTTAAATTTATGAACTCGAGTATGGGTCAGTGACCATAATAAAACTGAATCCATGTGTGCTTCTAATTGTTCTGTTATCTACATAAATATATGGTTCAAACATACATGCCAGTTCCTAACTGTTATGATACTAAATGATGAAATATAGCATCACATCTCCTTGCAAGTTTGCCCCTTCAGATTTGTATTGCAACATTGCAAGCAAGTCAGAGGCAAAGTTTATGTCGCAATGTTGCATTGTATATTTCAGCACTTCCCTCACCCCACTCCATGGATACATTTGTGTGTGTGTGTATGTGTGTGTGTGTGTTTAAATTAGTTTCAGAAGAGCACATGTAAAAAGCCATAGTTGCAAATCAGCTGTGGCTATATACTTCCAGTTTTGCAAAAGGGGGGGGGGTTTCACACTGCAAGAAATGGCCATAATTATGGGTGAATCAATCAATTCTAAATACCTGGGATATTGCTTGCAAGAATATGTGCCTATCTGACAAAATCAAAATGTTCCCTCTTTTCCTTCCTCCTGTAGATATCAACCAAAAAAAGAAAAAGTCCTTCCATTCCAGGAGGAAGAGTTCTGTATTCAAAGTAATGAATTTTATTTCAAGGCATAGACGTATCTGTGTAAGGCAATTACATCAAACAATATATTAAGGATACATTGTGGAGTTAAAGATGTTCATGAGATACATAATCACACATTTCTTTCCTTGAAGTCCTGCACCTCATGGAGGGCCAACTTTCTCCCACATCAATCTGTTAGGATGAAGAGTTGATACAAATCTCTCCCTAGGCTCACAAGTTTTTAGTCTTTTTGAGATAGAAGCAAGTTTACTGTTTTGCTGAAATAGGTCACCAATTACACTTAGTTGTTGTTAAATTCTCCCTCACCAGTAAATTTCCCCTGAGTACAAGTAATAGCAAGTGTATTAAGTATAATGCCAAGGAAACTGGAACAAAATTTATAAATGAAAATTATGTCCAAAATCTGTTTGGATCTATATTTCAAATGTTATGAAAGCTGTTTCAGGAGGAAAGAAAGATGAGCATAATTGGGCATTAAAGATAACATGGTGATGTGCAATTCTCAAATTTCAAATATCGATAATATATGAGGTGTTTTTTTATTTGATTTGTTTTTACTTGAGAGGTGCTCTGCATTAAATAAACAAAACAGTATTTTAATCACAATTTGTTGTTAGTTTGGTCTGGCAAAAACAATGTAATAAAAAAAACTCTAAGGGTGAATAACAGAAGAAATTGAATGGTGATTCTTGAAATTAAGGTTGAAATATTTCCCTGTATAAACAAGTCATGACCACACTGATGAAGGTACGTTACATTTTACTTTTTTTCTTGCAAAATTCTATGGCTAAAAAAAAAAAATTAAGTGTTCATAATCAAATTCTTTCAGACACAGGTGCTAGAAACAACTATCTGTTAAACTCAAGATTGAAATGTTCAAAGTCAGTGCCAGAAAGAACGTAGGGTCATTTTACTGTAATTTTGGAAATCCAATACTAATTTTGTCAGGTTAAAGTAGTAGAATTAAATATATATATAGGCTACATCTTACATAGGCTACATCTTACTCTAAAAGACCAATTTTTCTTCTCTTTTCATATTTCATACATATATTATTTTGTATACATTTATTTTATCTTCTCTCTAAGGAAAATAAGTCATTAAATAAATAAAAAGTCATTGAATTTTTTTTTTAATGAAACTTCCAGCATTTCACTTTATAACATTTGCTTATAGCCTGCAGAAATATATTCTAGAAATGACCATGCATAATAGATAGATAGATAGATAGATAGATAGATAGATAGATAGATAGATAGATAGATAGATAGATAGATAGATA